AAACAGTTCTGAGATCATTTCTGTGTTTCAATGATGAGAATGTTCAAAAGCAGTTTGACTGCACTAGCAAGAATAAACATTCAGAAGCATGATCTTGGTATTTTCAGTATTCTTATGGAATTTAAATGCATAGCATCTTCAGCTTTATTATCTGAAAGTGTATCTCATATGATCTGAAGCATATAATTATGATGCCTACATATGAGTTGCTTTTTGTAAGTTACACAAACAGTATCCTTCCATTCACAACATCATTAAACCTTAAGGTAATTAAGTAAATTATGTAGAATAGACATCATCTCCATTTTTCAAATTAGAAAACCTAAACTCATAACTGCAAGATGCCTCATTCAAATTCATTAATATGTGTAGACAGAGAATGTCAGAATCAAAATTAAAGCTACACTTTCATCTTCTTCTTCCAAAATTCCCAGAAGGGTAGATTTTAGAATTATTATGCAAAGAGAAATGCCATTCTTGAAATTTTTTGTTGTATATTTAGCCTATGCTTTCTCTATCAATCTACTTCTACCTCTACCTCTACCTCTACCTCTACCTCTACCTCTACCTCTACCTCTACCTCTACCTCTACCTCTACCTCTACCTCTATCTCTATCTCTATCTCTATCTCTATCTCTATATCTATATCTCTGTCTCTATCTTGAGGAAAACCTTATTAGATTTTAAGCATTGACAACTTAAAAAACTTAGGAGATAATTCCTATTGCCAATCTCAAAGTGACCATTACTACTCTCAAAAGAAGCTGCTTCTTAGATTTTGCCTATTTGAATCAAAGCTTTACCACTGTAAAGTGTACAACACTGGGAAAATCACATATGGAACTGGTGATAGTAAAACCATATCAGGTGATTTTGACAATATAGTGCAATATCACAGGATGCCAGTTCTCAGTATCATCTTCCCCTTCTTTTTCACCCTCTCTCCGTTACCTCACTGCTTCCTGTCACTACTCTATGCTTTCATTTCAATCTCAATACGATTAACTACATTCGACTTTCCCTTTTTCTCTTCTTCTAGTTAAAATATTTTAAAATAGCTCATTATAGATTCCACATATGAAAGATTTGTCCAGACTATCAACACAATATTACTGAAGACATACAGCAGAACAACAGCAGAACGATTCGAATATTCTAAATTCCAGGGTAATCTGAGAAATAAAGAGGCATCATCAGTACTGGCATTTTGGAGTTACCTTACTGCAAGCATTTTTATATGATTTGGGTAAAAAAAATACAGAAACAAACACAGAATTATGATATCTTTACTTTGGACAAACTTTAGTTATACTTTTAAAGTTTCCTTATTTTCTTGAGCATTGTGAGTCATGACATATTTCTCTGCAATTTTATTTTTTGGAAAATTCAGAAAGCACATTTTACATACTGCAGATTTCCCAGTTAAATTCAGTCATTTAATCAAAGATACTCTTATAATTGCTAACCACAGAATAGCAGATATTATATGTTATGAGGAGAACTAAATTTTAAAATATTAAAATAGTTTTAGGTTATTTTGATTTTTACTTAGTAAAAATCAAGAGAGTGAAGCAGGTAGTAAAAAGAAAAGCAAAACAAGCGCTGGTTCTCCCACTGAAGTTTACAAGTTTAAAAAAGGAAAAGACGAGACCAAAATATAATATGTGGCACAAGATAAGAATTTCTGAACAAGTAACGGGCCACATGTGTTAAGTAACTCTAAATAAAACGAGAGCATGCCTGCTGATATAGGATGGAAGCAGTAACCAAAGACACCTTAATGAAGACAGAGGTATCTGTGTGGAGACTGAAAGAAGGTACGGTTTCTACAGAAAGAACGCAGTAAAAACGTTTTCAAGAACAGTAGCCTAAGACTGGGAAGGAAATATTTATATTTAGAAAAGCCATCTTCCTTTGTTTTCAGGTTAAGGTAAGACTGGATGAGAAAGCTTTTGTAGCACAATGTGGAGATCTTGAAAGCCATACTAAAGATTTAAATAATTTCATACACAATGAGGAGCTAGGTGATTGAGGCTCTGCTTCTCAAGATGGATCAGTCAAGTGCTATTAAAATAAATTGAAAGGGAGAAGGGCATAGAAAACTAACAATTGTTTAAGATAAGTACCTGAGATTAGAGACAATGTAAAAATACTAAGTAGGGAATGAAAGAGAAATATTTAAGAGATAATTTATAGAACTTTCAATATTCTGAAATATAAATATTCCAATGGACTCATATCGTAAGTTTACTCTGATGTGTATTTCAACTTATTTAATTTTCAGATATCTGCATCTCAATCAAGGAAGAGAATATGGCTAGGAACCCCAGAAAATTTCTGTTTCTATTCTTGCCTCTACCCATTATACTGAATTAAAGGAATATATTATTTTTGATTGCTTTCATTCTTCATAGAAATAGAACTATTCATGAAGGTTTTTTGTGTTGGGCTTCTTTCCAGTCAACATCATGCTTGTGAGATGCGTCTGCATTTTTGTGTGCTGCATTTTTGTATGCTGTCAGTGCTGTATATTAGTTAATGTAGACAAACTATTCTTGCTCATTCAATTGTGTGTAAGAATTTCCATAGCCTCCAATTTGAATAACATTCAATGTGGCTATGGAATGTCTTGTACATGCTTTGTGATTACTACATGTCAAGTTTTGTTGGGTCTATCTATTTGGGGATAAATTTACAAATTATATGATATGTAGCTTTAATAGATAAAGGCCAATGCATATGAGAGGGTCATTTGTCCCATATTCTTACTAATATATGGCATGTTTTTTGTTTTTAATATTTTAGTTATCCTGGTGGATGTGTAGTAATTGGATTTGGTGACTTTAATTTGCATTCTTTTAAATGATTAATAAAATTAACATCTTTTAAAGATTTTTTCACTATTTGAATATCTTCTTTTTTGAAAGTTTTTTATCATGTTCTGAATATAATTCTTGGTCAGCTATATGAATGGCAAATAATTTTTCCCACTCTCTAGATAGCCATTTCTTAATTCTATCTTTTCATAAAGAAAAGTTGTAAATTTTTATGTAAGTTAATGTATCATGTATCTTTTATCTCTAGTACAAATAAGTTAGATACCATATAATAAACAGCAACACCTTGATCATGAATTTTATATAGATTGCTCAAATCTTCTTTTAGGGAGAATGCTAACTTCTTGCACATGCATACATGCAAGATTTCTACTAAAAAAGGAGAAGATACAAATATTTATTTCAAGTTACCTATTCTGGGTAAATTAGAGATATTCTTCACAAAATCAGCTAAGTCCATGAATTGCCTCCTCAGAATAAACATGGATTTGATTGTGGACATATTAAAATTAAGATAGAGTATTTATGAGGTATCTAAGAGTGATTTTCCACTGAGCAGCAGGGATTAACAGGTGAACTGGAATTATTGAAATGATTAAAGTAAGAGTATCATGCAAAAATGTGACTGTGAGTTTTCTGTTGCTGTGACAAAATATCTGACACAAACAACTTAAAATAAAGAAAGGTTATTTTGGCTGGTAGTTTCAGCCTATTGTTGATTGATCTTGCTTTTGGGACTGTGTTAAGAGACAAAAACATGACAGAACAATGTGTCAGAGAAACCAGGATAACCTCAGTGTGGGCAGGAGGTATAGAGAGAAGCAACAAAGGGCCAGAGTCCAATATCCCACTTAAAGGTCGACCCCAGCGACTTAACTTCCATCTGCTCAACCTCACCTCCTAATGGTACCATCCTCTCCTTAGAGCCCTAGACGGGGCCAAGTCTTAGGCCCATGAACTTCTGGGGAACACTCAAGAGTCAAATTATAGCACTATCTCAGTCCTTTTGGGGTCCTATCATAAATAGCTGTGACTAGACAATTTATAAAGAACAGATATTTATTTCCTCTGTTCTGAGAGCGAGGATGTTCAAGCTGAAGGTACCAGCAAAACTGGAACCTGGTAAGGATCTGAGCCCTGTATCTGTAATGGTACCTTGTTCTGCATCCTCAGAGGGAGGAATCCTGTTTCCTCACAGGAAGGAAAAATGCAAAGACCTGAGAGGGGCACTCTCCCTCTGCTAAGTCCTTTTATAAAGCCTTTATTACCACTCTCATGGCCCAATCACCCTTCAATCCATGCCTCTTAATACTGCTGCACTGTAAAATAAATTTCAAGTTGAATTTTTAAGAGGACAAACACATCCAATCCACAGAAGCCTGTGATCCAGTTTGTGTTATCATGTGTGTGTGAGTGTCTGTGTAACGCATAACTGTTGGAGAGGAGTTTGTGTGGTTGGCTTATGTTACAGCATTGAATCTTTTTACATCTGTTTAGACAGTGAAAAAGCTGAGATGCAGAATTGTCCTGTAATTTAAACTTTAGCACAAAAGCATTTTCTTGGATGTAACTGATTGACTGATTTTTCACTGAAAATCTTTTTAAAATTTAAATCCAGGCCCTTAAAACCCTTATCACTTTAATTTTATACAGAATATTTTGTTTTCTGTTACCAAAAACAACTACATTCCAAAAAGCAAGAACAAATTGGAATACATTTTCTTTAGGAAGATACTATGTTTTATTTTATCTTATTTATTTTTATTGGTATAATTTTGACATACATAATAATCCCAAATTTTGTGCCTGTACATATTATATTTTAATTATTTTTTTCCTGTTGTCTTCTCTTCCATCTTTCTTCTCTTCTCCCTTTTCAAAAATTTTTGTATTGTTTTTCTTCCTTTTTTTATTTTTTAGATTCTTATTCCCTCCTTTCCTTTCTCCTACCCCCTGCCTTGTTCCCCTTCCGATTTGAACATTTTCTTCCCACATCCCAATATCTATCATCCATTTTGGTCCTTATTTATTTACCCTTTGGGTTTCTCACATAAGAGAAACAATGCAAGAAAGATAGTATCTTGAAAGACAGTACCTTGAACATAAAATTATAAAATAATACTTAATTTAAGGTTTAATAAAATAGTTTATTGTCATAATTATTTTACAGTCAAAATAGTTAATGATAGAATGAGGTCTTTCTAGATTTATTGAAGATTTCATTTTCAATGGCCGGGTTTGAGCCCAGAACCTTGCACATACTAAGCAAACATTTTAACCCTGTGCTGCATCCCCAACTCTGCCCCTTCCATTTCCCCTTCCCCTTGCCGTTCCTCTTCCCTTTCCTCTTCTGCTTCTGGGAATTGAACTCACACCTTAAACTTGCCAGGCGCTGTGCCACTGAGCTATATTTCTGGTAGCTCTTCTATTTTTTAAAAAGTTCTTACATGAATTTTTAATTAGAAAGAATATTTCATTGAATTCATGTAAGTTACCAGGAAATTAGAGCTACAATTTTCTCCCTTGTCTGAAAAAGAACACAGGAAATATCACAGAATTCAACTCCTACGATAGCATTTTCACAAGTAAGAAATCACACAGCATTATAGCAATAATGCTATTAGAAACACAGATTGGGATGATCAGAAAAGGAAGATAATATGTCGTTTCCAATTTAGAGACTGATCCTGAAGGTAACACTTTTCATGACTCACCAGTGTATGTGCCTTTCGGTTCTATGACACCAAAGCAATGCTGTGGCATTGCCATGAAGGTTCAGTGAGGAAAGCAGGCAGATGAGAATCAAAATCCTTTGAGAATGCTCACCCTGTGAAGTGACACCATTCCAGGAGCTATGCTGTGTCAACATAGCAGCCTGTATCTGTTCTAAGCAAAGCAATCACTGAATTCTACGATACAATGTCTCAATGTATTCCAACCTCACTGGGTTGGAAATTGGCCTGGATATAACTCTTTCCCTTTTACTAGGCATCAGATATAAGTGTAATTTTTTTGCACTACAAAATTAGAGAATTTGACATGGTTAATATCTAGCTATGACTTTTAGAATTACTTTCTTGTCTGAATTTTGACAGAGCCTTTATTACTGTGTGCCGAAGGGGGCATTTGCTTAGGATAGCCCAACTAATGGCAAGTCTTCTAGGAAATAATTCAAGAAGAAATTACTATACTAGCAAAGAAAACAACTCTAGTTAGCATTTTTATTTAAGCTTATTTTGTGTTTGACACAGGAAAACTAAAGCTACAATAGTTTGGTGGCAAAAAGACACACAAAAAAAATCAAATTTCAGGCATTTTTTGGTGAAACTAAGGAATTATTAAAATGTTTATCTAAATTATATTACACTTTTATGAACTAAATATTAACTTTTGGTTAAAATCACCTTTAATACATAAAGGCAAAAACATATATGGATGTGTTGAAAAGAACAAAAGGAATAAGCTCAAAAGATGGAATAGACCCAGGGAAACAAGTGAGGGTGCCATGCAAAGGTGGTGGAAATTACTGGGTTAGGTGTCAGGAGAGTTTAATATTAATTTCAGCTTTGCTGGTGAAGAACCATTTGATTTTAGGCTAAGTGGTCGCTTTATCTTTTGCAATGAGTTTACCCATCTGTTACATGTGGGTCATAACATCTGGGCTCTCTTCCACGTTTGAGCCAGAGTAAATCCTAAGATACAATAACGTAGGTAGAAACTTTTTGAAAAATATGAAATTGGACATAAGGGCAAGGTGTTATCTGATTGGTGAGCTGCCAGGGAGAACAGAAGTGGATTTTGCAGCTCCTGTTGACAAGTGGGTGATTTTGTGTGCAAGCGTAGCATGCCTGGCTGCCGCCTCAGGCTAAGCCTGTAAGACCTGTGACTTCATATACCAACCGTTACTGAGAGGTGAACCAATCCGTGGCCCGGATTGTTTTGCAGCAAGATAGCCAAGACAGCAAGGCTGCAAAACTTCAGAACCTTGTAGTTTCTTCTTCTAACCAGAAATAAAATAGGAAAATATTTTTATGGCATAATTTTACTTCTCTTAGCCCCTGGTAGGATCAAAGAACTCCCAGAAGACTGGTTTTCTTCACCAGGCCTGTCCAGTCCTTTGAAGATTGGCAGCCTTGTGAACTATAAGTTATTTGTTAAGGGAAAAAAGGTAACATGATTCATTATTTTTAAATTTTATTTTAAAGAGGATAAAACAGAATAAAACTAATCAAAATAAACCAGTGTAAGAGATACAGGACTTCAAAGCATTACAAAATCAACAATAGTTACCATAATGCCTTTTGATGTCTTCAAAATAGCTGCAGATAATTTTGGACATCATAAAAATCAAACAGAACCGAATGAACTAGAAACAATAAAAACAAAACAATGAATTCAATAAAGGACTTCAAAACAAGTCAATAGTAAATCCAAAATTGCTACCATAATATATCTTGCTATCTTTGAAATAGCTACTCCCGCCATCAGATTTAACATAATCAAACAAAACAAAAAAGAATAAAATCCAACACAACAAAACAATGGAAATGCTACAGAACTTCAAAACAAGACCTCAGGGAATCAGCAATGGCTACAACCCTCAGAAGGAGATCCCCCCTAGATGCCACACTGTGTACCACTAACCTCTGAGCCTATGATCAGACCACTGGCCTTAGACCTGCAATGTTAGTGAAACACCAAAGCACCACAGGCATCTAATTGCATGTCACCTCAATAGCTATCACCACAGCCTGTGTTTCTCTGGATAAGCTAGTCACTTAGATGGGGAGGTAGGGGGATGACTGGTACTTATTTTTGTCAGCCTGTGTACCAGAAGGGGCTAGGGTCTTGCTGATCCAGTCTGCTAGTGGCCTGCACATGGTGCTGGTTCCCAGACTGGGCTTGTTTGCTGGTGTGGCCTTCTTCTCTCTCCTTCTGGTCTGCGAATGGTGGACTCCGGGGGAGAGGCTTGAGTTTGGCTGTTCCTGGTCCTGAGGCGGCATGCACATGGCGTACATTCCCAGACTGTGCTTGCTTGCTCAACATGATTAGTTATTATTTACATAAAATGTTTACATATTTGCAGTTCATCTGGACCTTGTCAGCTCTACATACAATTTTACAGGACTGAGAAAATGAACACTTGAAGTTTTATTTCACATTGCCCTGAGTTCTACTTCCCCTGACCATTCCCCCACCACCAACGTTTTCAAAGGTGTTACCTTTATATACTCATTTTTTAATTCATTCACTCATTAAATATGCAATAATTTCATAATCATCAAATGATTAAAAAACTATAGAAAAGCTTGCTCATCTTCTGGGAAGATGGTAGAGCAGTAAGCAGCAACAAATTAGACTCTCCAAAATTTGAAATCCAGACAGTGGAAAATAACTTCTTGGAGAAGAAAAGGAAGGAGGTGATCCCTGGGACCAGGAAGGATCTGATGGAAAAATTGGAGCCAACACAGAAATTGAAGACAGATCACATTGCAGAAAAAGGAAAGGCTAGTTCTGTCTATCCAATTCATCTTCTGAAACCTACACCACTGTTACTATTTGATTCTATTTTTTACACACACAAAGCAATAACAACTTTTTATCTTATTTCTTTTCTTCACATTAAAATTTTGCATGCTAAACACACTCTTGTACTTCTTGTCTCCAAGCTTTTCTAATAGCACTTGCCAGTTAGGTACTTTGTAATGTTAAGGTCACACGGTCCCATTTATAAGTCTGACTCATTGAAGAGGTTATTGTCCTTCTCAGGAGGAAATTAAATCTTATATAGCAATTTAAATTTTAAAGTAAACTGTGGTGCTCTGGCACAGTACTGACCCTAAGCAACAATCTTGGAGCTTTGTGCTGGCATTTGATGGCTTTAATATCCCAAAGATGTCATTACTAAAAACTACTTTAAAGTATATTTGTTGGATTCAATTGAATTTAAGAAGAATCTTAGAAGCTTTGCTTTTGTTTCTTTTTTACTTTATTTTTTAAAAAAAAGAGGATAAGGAAATTGCCTTAGATGTTAAAAGTCAGTAATAAACAGATGAAGACAGACAGAAACTGTAGAAAACTAAAGTCCATCTATACATCCACTAGCATCACACAGCTCCTGCATACTCCCAATGATTCTGTGCTATGCTGAGGGTATAGTAATTTAAAATGCCGAGTTCACGCCACTCTAATGCCTAGTATTGGGCACACTGTATCACCCCAGATAGAAGCATCCTTATTATCTCTGACTCAAACTAACACTTGGTCCCCTACCTCATTACCTGTACTTCCGGACCTCCACCTTTCAGTCCCTACTCAAAAAACAGCCACATCTGCTCTGTTACTAACATGGTACACTTGCTCAAAACTTTCCAATAGTTTATTATCCTCTTTGGGAAAAGGCTAAACTTTACAATACTATAAAACCTACAAAATCTAACCCTCTCACTTCTTAATGAAACCATACAATAATAAATTCAACTACAATGTTACAAAGACTATGAAAAAATTAAATGAATACTACGGGGCAGTATTTATCTTTCCAGCTCAGTAACATTACATGCTTAGTAAATATAGCTTACTGTTGCTACCACAAACTTCAGAGATGAGAACAGATGTGATTAAACACTAAACTCCAGCATTGGCTTAGATAATCATAGGTTTACTTTCACAAAACTATCCACAGGTTTAATGGAAAGTATACATACTTTCGTTATTTTTGTGGCAACGTTCTCTGTTAGTCAATAAACCAGAAATAACCACAGAAGAAAATTTATTGAAAGTAGTAGATTTAGCTAAGTTTGAATTTCATCTTTGATTCCTTTCCCTTTAGAATTACCAGACTTCAGAGACTTTCACTAATCAAATAATTCAATGTCTTATAAAACATATATAAGCCGTTGCCTCAGAAAATGATGTTTAAAAAAATCAACGAAAAGATTTCAAGGATACTTTTCTCATTACAACAAAAGAGGAGATAAAAGAGGGTTAGTTCCATTTCTTTCAAACACAAAGTCAGGTATTAAATACTAGAGACAATTCTCAGGCAATTTTGAGATTTTAGTATTTTGTAGCCCTCTATGTAACTTTTTGGCAGAACAGATTATACTGCTAGAAGTCCCAAACAATATACTAAATAATCTCTCAATCCCTTTAAGGAACATAGTTCAATACTGTTTATCAAAGTTCTATTCTAAAACTATACTCAATGAAATATTTTAAGGGATGCCTTTACTTTGTCTACCAGGTTCCTTTCCTGACCCATCTTTATTTCTTCACAATAATAACCTACTATCTGAAATTATCTTGTTTCCTTAATTGTAATATACGCTTTCACTATAATGTATCCTCTCTGAAACCAATTTAGTTCATTGCTGTTTCCCAGCCCTGGAAAATTAACTTGTTGAATGAATGGATGGTGTGCCTGCCTATAGATACTATTAAGTAAATACTTTCTTTCTCTTATTGAGAGAATGTTCAAAGTTTAACATGGTTTAAATAATGTAAGTGATCAATAATTAATATGGAAAAAATTTTAAAAATTAGATTCATTCCTTAAAACATTCTTTGTTATTTATAATTAATTTTGACTTGCATAAAACAATGTATGTGGCTATTTTATTCTGCCAACATACTCTTCTGCACATGATCCCGTCTGGCATTTCAACTACTATCTCTATATAAAATTAGATGATTAAGTCTCATGAGGTTACAGATAAGTAATGTGTTTAGCCAAACGTTTACCCCAGAATGGTCAACATTTGATTCTTTATCTTTGTTTATAGTACCTTACAATGATAACTAGTTTTAACAGGGTGATTCTTTTACCTTTTGTTAAAGCCCAGGTCAGGAAACAGTAATGGCTCCTGGACTTGACAAAACAGCTTTGTGTCATCAACCCTCAGCACCTCTCTCTGGAGTAGTCAATGATGAAACAAGAATGTATGGGATAAGAGTGAAGATGTTCTGTGTAGCTCAGATAAAGTATAGAAGCTGAACACCTGCTAACAAGGAATGAAAGACAAAAAGGAGTCAACAGAAAAGTGAACCCTAATTTCTATGGAAATCTAGCTTGCTCCATGCCAACACACCTCAGAAGATATGGAATTAGTTTTATTCTCCAGTTAAATTTGTCTTTCAAAGTTTCTGTTTGTCTTGAACTTTAGTTTATAAATTACTGTGTCATTTCACGAAATGCTTTATTTAATATCTAGTTAGACAAAATGCTTATGGTGTTTCTTCAAAAAATCACAGTAAAATAAATTACCTTGGTAAAGTTGATGACTGATGCTCACATAATAATAGTCCAATATTCAAACAGGGCTAATCACAGTGATCGTGGAATGAATTCCATGTAAGATTTTTTGGGGATAGGTCATTGTTTAACATGATCATTTGCTTTCCAGCAAAAACTACATGCAATCCTTTTCATTATTCACCTCTCTACATAAAACTGAGATTGTGACCCATCTATTGTTCTGAATTACACATTGTTAAACATAAAAACAGTAAAAAGAAAAAAAAAGAGAAAAATTTCTATAAGTGTATTTCAGATTCACAATATTTTCACAGAGGAGCATTGCTGGCTATGCAGATTTGTTTTATAATATGAATTGCCATTTACTTGGGGCTAGGGAGATTACACAGAAATTTGGGAAATAGTTGACCATTTTTTGCATCAAAACTCTAAACCATGGAAGATTCACTTGAACATCACCCTGGGGCAGGGACTGTATTGAATCCTCCTTGTACTGAATCCTCACTTTGTCTCTTGCTAGCTATGTGACTTTGAAAACTTATTTAAAGTTTTGTTCAATTCCTCATGGGTAAAATTGTATGACATAGACTTACATTTACTTTATATGATTGCCTCCAACATTTCTTGTGAGAGTTAAATTTGAAATCACGAAATCTCTGAAAAGTATCTGGAATATAGTGAATTTAAATGGTTTGTATTTAATGACGACAATAACCTTCTTTGGTTCTGGAACCAGAGTAATTAAAGGTAATGAGTGGAAGAAACCTCAATCTTGATGTTTCTGCCCTGAGTGACTGCTGAGACATGGGGTAAGCTCCGGGTTCCTGCTCGCTATTCTTCCCAACTGAAGGAGGAAATCTGGCTGTAGTAGGAGAGAAAAGCCAACAAGTGGAGAAAGAGAGACAATGACAGAAAAACTATTTTGAGAGCCAAGTCTAGAGCCAAGATTCTAGGAAGGCCTTATGTTCTTACAGCTGCTTCTTGGATCTTTCAAAAAATCCCTTGTTCTATTTCATTTGTGATTCAGTGGCGGGGTGAGGGGGTTCTATTACCTAAAACTAGCAGGTACTGCTTACTGGACAAGGGACTAAGTGAATGACAGCTGAATGAAGCAGGCAGAAGGAATGAACACTCCCAGTGGCTTGTCAGGCTCTGACCAGGCCCCTCTAGCTCCAGTCAGTTTCCACTGGGACTTTTCATGAGGGGCCACTGATACTGCAGGGACAGTAAGGCAGCATTGGATGAGCTGATGACAATGAGGGAGGCCAGGAAGAAACCAAAAAAATAAATAGTTTGCCCATGGTTCCAGAAAAAAGAAATGATCTTTTTTTTTATCACTGCAGTCTGTAACTTCAGAATTTTTAAGAATAATTCCAAAGAGGAGACTCCAAAATATCTAGAAAACATGTTAATGATTTAATGATATCAATAAAAGGAATATCCACAGGGTCACTATTTGGCGTGCTTACTTAAATACATGTAACATCTACAACTTTTGAGGAAGGTCAGTGTAATGAAGCATTTATAACACCCCAAAAAAATGTAGGGTTCTGATAACAGTTGAAGCATATTTCAAGACATACAGCTCAGATTATTCTTCTTTCCTATTTGTGGGATTTAGAATTGTGTGATTCAGTGTTCAGCATTGTCTGAAACAAGTGTCTAAAAGTGTCTGCTCTCCCAGTTGATGAGGAAAAAAAAAACAGTACATGAGCTGACAATGAAAGCTGGAGAACAAATTCGTACATGTTAGGAAGAAACTAATGCCATGGATATGTACTAACTTGCTTACATTAATGAGAGGAAAAACTTGCTGTTTAGACCACCGATTTATGTCTAATACCAATTATAAATACAAACTAACTCTTTTAAAAAGAGAGCAAAGTAGGAATCCATGCATCAAAATTTGTCTGTTGTTAATTTTAATAATGATCATAAATTCTTCGTGCAAGACCTTTGGCAGTGTGGTGACTTTAGGTTGAGCACATGTTTTGATTTGTCCAATGGCACAGTACCAAATATAGCAGAAATTTGCCTTCTCTCCCTACACTTGGGACCCCTGATAATGCCATCATTTCTGTGAAAGAACCCAGACTCGTCTGAGAAATACTTACAGCATACAAACCCAGTCAACAGCTAGAAGATTATCTTTTCCTTTTGCAAGTGAATACCTTAGCTGAACTTGATATGTCAAGATGCGATCAGCAGAACATCTTCCAGATAAGCTTGGTTCAAAGTGCTGACCTGCAGAATCATGAAATAAATAATATTTGCTTTAACTGTTATAACTAGTGATATTCATGTCACAATGGCAATCTTATCAATACTCACTTTACATTATGGTCTATGAGCTAAGATACTGACAACAAATGCAAAATCCATAGAACTACTTAGGATATAAGTATGATTTGATGGAATCATGTACAGGTTAAATTGCAACCCAATCACCTTTTTATCAAAACTCAAATCATCTTTTCCAGAAAACATGAGAACTTTTTCATTAAGTATAAGATTTATCTATTTAATTGATAAAATGGATAGCAAATGAAAAGTTGTATACACACAAATGAGTATATTTTTTCCAGAGTCTCACCATCACATTGGAAAGATGACACCAAATAATAGCTCTGCCTATTGATGTAGATTAAAAACCTCTATCTCCATATAGGCAGAAAGAACAACAGATTTGGGCAATAAAAGATGCTTATAAAAACAAGTAAGAATCGCATACTGAGATGCTATATTTTTCCTATTTTACTATTATTTTTATTACTACATATTGATTTACCTAAATCTCATATCTCTTTTAATTCAGTTTCCCCTGCTCCTTGTATTAAATTAAAAAAGGAAAATTCCATAGAATATTGCTACTTAAACATGACAATAATTCTATAATTACAGAATGTAAAGTTATGCTGGTTCAGTTTCCTTAGTTAGTTAGATATTCATTTACATTCACATGATCAGTGAATGACTAAAACATTTGTTCAATCACTGAATGAATCAATTTCCTGAACATTTGTTATATTTGTATGATAAAAACCTATGAATATAACAGATCCAATCCTGGATTTCATGAAGTTTAGGCTAGTAAAGAATACAAGTAAGTAACTCTGCATGGTGTAATGTGGCTCCAAATATGGGAAAATATAGTGATGAGGAGCACAATGTCACAGAAGACATCCTGAGACTAGCCCCTTATGTCTCCTCTTAACATGTATAACACATGGAAAACATTGGGTTCTTAGAAAATAACTATTGTTTGATCCAGTTATTTATCTTTTTTTGTAGGGCCATAAGAAGAAAGTTGGAAAAGTCAAATCATACATACTAATATCTATTTATTACATTAAGGTATAAGATTGTTATTAAAAGATACATTTCAATTTGGATGTATCCATGGAAATTCATTCTTCTTACAGAAGTAAAAAGAGGAGCATTGCTGAATAAGGTTAAAGCAACTAGAGAGTTAAATTATAATGTAGTCTACTCTGATATGTTGGCTATCACAGACTCAATCTGACTGGACAAGCAGTTGGAACCTGACTCAAAGAAAATAGGTATGGATTATGTCAAGTGAGCAGTTCAGAGTGAAGGTCTGGCTACTAAATGATTGAGGGATGTGATAAATCCAGATATAACCTTTATGGGTCTGGATATGTGGAAGGGGTAGATAACCAAAGAAAGGTGAATTATCTAGAATCAGTATTTTATCCAAAGTCATTTTTCTCACCAGGCTTTGCTACACACACCCTCCCCCATCAGTAGGTCCACAGTGGAAGACTATAATAGCTGGAAAGATAAGACCTTGTGTCTTGTAGAAAAGTTCAAAGACTCATGCACTGAAAGATTTGTCCCCCTGAGATGTTACCTTGGGAAAGAGTGGAACTTTAAAGACATGAGACCTAAAGCTAGGTCTTCAGGTCACTGGAGGGATGGTATCAAAGGGGGTTATGGGACCTCAGTGTCTTCCCCTGTCTCTTTTGCTTCTCAGCAATGAGGTGAGCAGTTTGCTGCTATACTGTTCCTGGCATGCAGTCCTACCTCCCCACAGGTCTAAAGAAACAGGGCTGACCGGTCGGGGACTGACACCTCCAAAACTGCAAGCCAAAGTAAACTATTTCATAATGTGATTATTGGAGGGTTTTGTTGTTGTTATAGCAACAGCAAGCCAGCATACTCTCCTAACTCAATTTTTTTTTGTCTATTTTCAATGACTCCCTTATCTCTTTCTTACAGGAATAAAAAGTCCAACTAATGTAATTCTAAGTAGTGTACCGTATGCAATAGCCATTTTAAAAGTGAAATTAAAACATTGTTTATTTGGGATGACAACACAGTTGTTGAGCATAATTAACAAGAAAATCATAAAATAGTTTCTACAATCCAATGGGAAAAAATTACCACTTTACATGCTAAAAAATTAAAAATGTCCTTCAGATAGCAATTATTTAACTATGTAGTATTATTTACTATCATATAAATTATAGTATGACTTCATAAAATTGTTGGCACATATTCTGAGTCATATTTAATAAGCAACTCATGACATTGTGTGTGATTACAGCCTTTAAGTGACTGTCATGTGTATTTTCTGTTCTCTTAATCATGACAGCTTCATTTTCCTAGATCTAAACAGGTTGTTAATGACAGAGCTAGGATTTGAATACTGGTCTTCTGAGTCAAGCTTAAGTACTCTATATTTTTAGCTCTGTTTCTACCTCAGACAAAAGGTAGTCTATCAGAATGTAGCATAAAGTAGGAAGTTGGTTTATTTTTATTTTATTCAATCCCTTTCTTTCATTATTAGAGGTTAGCTCACTAATAATAAAGTAGAATTTTTTTTTGTCTTTTTCATTTTTATCGGTACCAGGGATCGAACTCACGACCGCCTGCTTGAAGGCAGGTGATTATGCCGCTGAGCTAAATCCCCAGCCCCCTAAGTAGAATATTTTTAAGTCTAACTTTGATTATGTTGAATTTCCCTTGATCAAATATTAAGTTCAACTATCAAACCCTTAAGAAATATAAAGGTCAAATTTTATCAAAATTTTCTTTTTAGATGCTCGCTAATTATTTCTCATTATGAGTGAGTTTCTTCCCTACACTATCATCATTTCAGTTTGATAAGAGAAAACTAGCTTAGGAAAAAGTAAAATTATGTTAGTCTTTAGTGTTTTAGTTAAAGATAAGCATTTAACTGAAAATTTACTAAAAAAAAACAGTATATTTTAGGAGTTCACAGATTATATGCTAACAAATTTTTGATCTTACAAATAGAATTACTTTTTGAGACAGAAAATCTCACTAGGTGATCAATAATTTGCAAAACTAGAACACCTATATCAAAAAAAGAAAACCTAGCCCAAAGAACAATTCATTATAATTCCAGACTTTATAAAACTGAATGATCCATAGTTTATCAGCATTCTAGTTGTATAGAATTCAAAAATAACAAAAGCTAGATGGGAAATCACATAATACAGAATTCACAACAGGCAGAAACACCCAAAATTGCATTTATTTCAGCTAAAACGCATGGCTATTTTCTAAAAATAACCCACTTTCTGTATCACTCATCTGGCATTACTAACACAATTACTTTCCTTTCTCCCCTTATCAGGTAACTTGCTCTAATACACAGCTGTGACAGAATGGCTGGCTGTATTTCTAATGGCTTTACAGAAGTAAACCGCCCATCAATAAAGCTTTTCAGAACAATTCTAACATTATGTATGCATTAAAAATTCCACATGAATTAAAGCTGTGCATAAAGTCCAAGTTTAGCTGGCCTTCCAATTGGAAAGAAAAATAAAAACCACTAAAGTTTCCATATATTTTCTTGGGGAATGAAATGCAACAATTATCTGATTAAAGATTTCATGGATCATATTTTTGAAATTTCATGAGAAAAATAATAAAATATATGTGCTTCAAGCTAACCATGTTCAAAGATTACCTTTGAAATAACAATTAAAGCTGATTAATATGTGACATTATAGACACATAAAATGCCACAGGGTTCCTATCAGATTATCTAGAAAAGATGTCCAAGAGTGCCACCTAGAGTGAAGTCTAGGGTACTTTAATACATTTTAGAAAACAACAAATGATTTACCTATCGTTATTAATTTTACAGAAAAATTAACATCACTAAATTTTTATTGCACAAATAGCGTAAGATCAGTATGGTCATTTACACAGATGTTAGTGTATTCATCTATGTCAGCATCTTATATAATATTTGATCACAACATGGTCCCTGAATGCTTAAGGAAAGTCATTGTAATTCACTTTGGAAAATGTTTCCCTCTCCAGACAACACTTTGGCTGGCACTTTGTCTTCCTTTTTTCTCAGCAATATTTCTAAATTTCACATGTCCACCATCTCCAAATATACCTATGCTTATATGTTGGCACAAAGTATGTGGGTACATGTATGTGGATATAATTGGAGGAAACATACTTAAGTATTCCCCTAGGGCATTAGTCAATTAGCTATAATAGGGTTGTTTTTTTTTTTTTTTTGTCTGCTTCCCAAAGAGAGACAAAAATTTTGTGGTCAAGACACACGTTTCTAAACTAATTAAAAACTACTTACTTATATCTCTTCCCATGTTTCTCCCAAGCTCATGACTGGCTTACCGCTCAGACACTTTTCAATATATTTGGCCACAAGACCCAGTATCTGAAGAAGTTATCACTCAAGTTCCCAGTAAGGCTGTGTTTTTCCATCTGAACTGGATCCTCTTACCAGATTTTCAGAGATAAATTGCAAAGACACTAAGAATTACAACAGTGCTTAATAGGAGTGGGACTTGACACCTGCTTTCTCTCACAAAACACTTCTGAAATCTCTCCTAGCCTCAGAGCCTTTCAGGTTGAATGCTGCAGTGAAGTCCCCAAACTGATCACAGCTCTGATTAAGAGAGTCCTTTTAACACCTGCAACAGTATTTAAGGGATGGACACAAAGCCAACCCCTTTATCTTGTTTGAAATGAAACCTGACCATCCTTTCTCAAATGATAGCTATTTTCTCCATATTCTACCTCTTGTAGGGTTGTCATGTGGCGTTCTCCACGCTCCCCACTGCCTGCAGAACACTGTTTAGTTCTACTTAGAAATAACCACAGCTGCTCCAAAGGACAGTTGATCAGGTTGTGCAACTGCAGCTGGACTGGAACCGCATGTCTTGGTTAAGACAGCATGTTCTGGGGCTGGGGATTTAGCTCAGCGGCATAAG